AAAATCTCTTGGTCTGATCCAGTGACTACCAAAGTAAGTGGGACTCTCTCCATTAAAATTAATGAGTTTCAGATTGGACCCTCAAGCTGTTATTGATTTCTGTCAGCTCTCCCTTGTGCTCTGCTGACTGCTATAAACCCATCTGTGCTACTTGCCTATTTTCTGTGGACTTGGCATTCAATCTACCCCATATCCTGTCACCACATACTTCTGTGAGCTTTTCTGTGAGCTTTGCAGCATACAGCACTCAAAAACTGTATTGCGTTGGCTTCTTAACACATGCACGAATTCTTGAACATTAGATTCCTCCTCCTTTGAGTTTATGAAAACCAATTCCACATTAAAAGATTAACAGGATATCCCAAATTAGAAAAGGTCTGCCTTCCCATGTTCTCTCTGCACTTTCTAAAAAACACCACGATGACCCTTTTATTCTCTCAAAATGTGAAACTGTATAAAGTTAATGCTGAGGATTTACACAAATGTAAGAACTCCAGCACGAAAAGATAAACCTGGTAGGAAGCAGGAGGAGATCAAGGCGATGCTGAGGATTTACACAAACGTGAGTAAGAACTCCAGCACAAAAAGATAAACCTGGTAGGAAGCAGGAGGAGATCAAGGCACTAAAGCAAAATGAGACAAGGGCACAGGGATACATTTACTTTAGCCTAGAGAGGGGATGGAGCCAATAGGCTCAGAGGTTAACTTTATTTTTATTTGTATCCTTGAAAATTAGGCAAGGGGGATCACCACTCTACGCAAATACAACCGTATAAATACAACATCCAAAGATTACATTAAAATCTACTCTTGTCACACTCATCTTTTTTCTTTTCTTTTCTTTTCTTTTCTTTTCTTTTCTTTTTTTTCTTTTCTTTTCTTTCTTTCTTTCTTTCTTTCTTTCTTTCTTTTTTGGCAGTTCAGCTGCGGACCAAAACCTGCCATTCTATGCAGCATATTTGGAAGGTAGCCCCACTATAAGAATTCATTCCAAATAAATAGACCTAGCTTTGTGCTGCACATCAAGTTCAATTCAACAATGATCTTGAGATAAGCCTATATTTTCCTTTGCCTCCCTGTCCAAAGATTCAATTCATTCATATAGGAGTTTGTTTGCAAGATAACAAGGGTCCCCTTTTTGAGTATAACAAGATATTATTTTTGCACATTTATTAAAGGAAATCAATATGGCGGCTATGCAGTGCACACTTATCACCTCACTGCAATCTTTAGCCTATCACACTGAAGGCAACATACTGTCATGTATATTGATGAACATCCTTACATCTTTTATGTAAATCACCACTTTCTGCCAGTCAAAGCTTAGGAAACAGCATTACTGAAAAATAAGTGTGTGGTTATAGGTCAGTAACTGAACAGACACCTTGCATTCCAATTGGTGGCAAAAATTCAATTTCAGTGTAATTTAAAAATTACTCAAACTTGTTACAGCAGTAAGTGGAAACTGGTTCAATTTTAAAAATGGTCTGCAAGTTACAGGTTAAGCCATACTGAACAGTTAAATCATCCAAGTGAGTATCAATAACAGACTGATAAAGCAAATTACTCCCCACCGGAAATTAAAGGCAACAGTGATTCAGATGCCCAGAAGGGATCTAGGCAAGGCTGCCAAACACCAGAAGGTTTTTCTATAACTCAAGGATGCCACAAAATGAGTTTGCTGAATTGGTAATTGTCCCAGGTTTCTTCAGGGAGAAGGCTCAAGATGAGACATATTATTCTTACTTATTGGCAAGTGCCCCCAAGACCCTTATAAATTAAGCTGTTGATCCCATTGGGCTTTAATTTTCCTAGTTAATGTGTTCAATATAAATGAAAATGATAGTAGGTCCCCCCCTTGTCATCAAGTGCATCATGGGGGAAAATGGTTTAGTATACAACAATAATGAAATATGAGCCACTGAATACACTGCACATTATGGAATATAGCCATTCATTGACCATGGACAGCCTTCAGCAAGAACATACATGTAATCAGCATAGCAAAGTGGTAACATTCTCCAGCAGCTGCATACACCTAGCACAATACATTCCAACTCTTTTCCATTTACTAAATAGTAGCTGTAAAATACCCAAGAGCTTTCAGGACTAAAGCTTTGAACAGTAGTGATGGGAAATTATATCAGTTCCGGAGCACAATTTCAATTTGAGAAATGTCTTAGAAATCAAATTCCAGCAGTTGGTAGGACTAAGAAGAGTAGTCCAAAGAGAAGTAGGTGGAACGAGATTCAATTCTTACTGATTCTTGGCCATTTTCCCATCAAGCACACAAAACACAGCTCATTTTTTCAGTGTCTCTAGGTAAAGGTAAAGGTTTCTCTTGACAATTTGTCCAGTCGTGTCCGACTAAAAGGGGCAGTGCTCATCTCTGTTTCCAACCCATAGAGCTAGCGTTTGTCCAAAGACCATCTTCCATGGTCACGTGGCCAGCACGACTAGGCACAGAACGCTGTTTACCTTCCCACTGTGGTGATACCTATTTATCTACTTGCATTTTGCAAGCTTTCGAACCACTAAGTTGGCGGGAGCTGGGACAAGGAACAGGGGCTCACTCTGTCACGTGGATTCGATCTTACGATTGCAGGTCTTCTGACCTTGCAGCACAGAGGTTTTTGCGGTTTAACCCGCAGGGCCACCACGTCCCTACTCAGAGGCAAACTCCACCATGCCAGCTTTCAGGAATTCAAAAAGCAGCTCAAATGTATAACTGAGGTTAGGAGATAAGTTCCATTGCAACCAATGTTCCCTCTAAGCTGTGTGGGTGTGGGGCTATGCAGTGCTGCATCAGTACTGTACACCTGCAACCAGTGTTGCCACCCATTTAGCTCTGGTCGTGGCCAGAACCCAGTGCTGGTGGAAGATTAGAAGGAATGTTGACAGTAACAGTTCCCCAGGTAGACAGATCCAAGTGGTTTCCTGATGGCTCTTAGGGAGTTTCTTGTCACCTTGGCAGGTGATTCTGTCAAACCTTTAGTTGACCTCTGGAATGGGGAAATTTCCAGGGTCATAAATACAACTGTTCCTAAGTGTCTCCTCCCATGTAGTGGAACCATATTAGGCCCTTAGTTTATTGGGGAGCTGGCAATGATGAAGTGAACGGCACAGAGAGTAGAACAATGATGGCAGAAAAGCCGAAGTGAATTGAATCTAACTGGGGTAGGGCACACCAGAAAATATGTTCTGTGGTGGTAGTGACAGTGAAGAAAGTCTTCTTCTTGGACACCATACTTCACTATGATAGACAACTATTAGCCAGTCCCCGGTGTTCCATTTTTGGGCAAGGTACTGGAACATGTGGTGACCTCTTAGCTCCTGAGATTCCAGGATGATCCATTTCTGGACAGAGAGAACTTCAGTCACTTTGGTGGGCAAATTATACCAGGGACTAGACAAGCAAGCATATCCCTATTGGTTTTGCTGGGACTTTTGACACCTTTTGAACCACAGCACCCCTTCTGGGCTGCCTCACTGGGACAGGACTTGGAGGCTTTGTCTTGCAGTGTTTTCAGTTCTTCCTGGAGGGGCAAACTCAGACGTTTATGCTGAAGGAGTGATGGTTTGATAACTTGCTCTCTGGCTTGTGGCTTCCGTCAGGGTCCTGTCCTATTCCCTGTAGTATTTGACATCTGTATGATACCACTGGGAGGGGTTGTGAGTTTGGGGGTTTGGTGTCACCAGTATGCTGATGACACTCAACTCTCTCTTTCCTTTCCATTTGTTTCCAAGGAAACTGTCTCAATTCTAAACCAGTGCCTGATGTTAATAATGGGCTGGATGAGGGCGAACAAACTGAAACATAATTCAGACAAGACAGAGGCGCTCCTGGCCAACTGAATGGCAGATGAGAGAACTGGATGCATCCCATGCTAGATTGGCTTACATTCTCCCTGAAAACTCCGGTATGCAGTTTGGCCAGGACTGCATTTGTACAGTTAAAACTGATGTGCCACTTGTGCCAACTGAAATGTCTGACTTGGCTATAGTGACACATGCCTTAGTTAGAGCCCACTAGGATTATTGCAACATGCTCTGCGTGGGGTTGCCTTTGAACATGGTTTGGAAACTTTGACCAATTCAAAATGCTGCAGCCAGACTGAGGCAGTTACAGGAGTCATATAACTCCACTGATATAACAATTTCCCTGGCTATCACTCCATTTCTAGGCCCAATTCCTATACTGCTTCGATTGTGGCAATTTGAAGGTCCTTTCATAGACTCATAGGATCATACAATCCTAGAATAGTGAAGTTGGAAGGGGCCTTATAGTATAAGGCCATAGAGGAATACAAATCGAAGGATATCTGCCAGGTGGTTCTCTTAAGTTTCTCTTGAATGCCTCCAGTGCTGGAGCGCTCACCACTTCTAGAGGTAACTGGTCCCACTTTCTTCCCATATAATCCTTGGTGATCTCTGAGATCTTTGTGGGAAGGCCCTCTCTCAGTCCCAACACCTTGTTTGGTGAGGACCCAAGAGAGGGCTGCTCTCATTCTTTCAAATTCCCTCCCATATAAGGCTATGTTGGTCCATCCTTACAATCCTTCCACTGTCCACCAATTTTCATTTTATAATTGGTTTTCATTCTGTGAATGTCCTTTGAGGATTAGAATTTTTAGCAGGGTATGCAACATATTTTTATCACACGTTTAACATTTATTTTAAAATAAATTGTTCTCACTAATCATGTTTTCATTTTATGTTTAATTGAATTCTAATATTAATAGCTTAATTTATTGTTATTTTGAAGAAATATATTTTTAGCTGTTGTATGCTGCCTTTAGCCCATTTACTGGGAGAAGGGTGAAATATAAATAAGCAAGCAGGTAAGTAAATAAACAAAACAAACTGATGTAAAGTATGGCTGAGTGGTCAGCTAATTTGCTAAAACAGGAGCACTCATTTTACGGGGTGAAGAGGATATATTCCAACAATTTCTTAAAGGTTTGACTTGCACATTGTGTGATATAAAATGTTAGACTTACCAGATTGAATGACTATGACAGAAGTCTAAAGCAGATATGATCTGTCGGAAAAACTTCCTGGCTTCTTTTGGCGTTAATCTTCCTTTCTTTACAAGATAGTCAAAAAGTTCTCCACCAGACACATGTTCTAGCACCAAATATCTAAAGCAAGAAGGAAACAGGTGTTTTGTTTACATGCTATCAGCACATGTTTGAAAATACATACATATATATATATATATTGATAGTTACATGATATACTTGTCAAGTCACATCTGACTTACAGCAAATCAGTTAGGGTTTTCAAGTTATGAGAGAGATTTACATAAGGAACAGTTTTACTAGGGCTGCACCCAATGAATCTCCATAGTTGAGCAGGGATTTAATGCAGATTTTCTGAATCATAGTCTGTCACTCTACCCGTTACACTGGTTCTCACATTGACAGATACCTGCATAATAACTAATATATTGTCTGGAAGTTGTGCCATGGCAACTGGACTTCTTTCTTATTAGGCTGAAACATTTCGCTACTGATCCAAGTAGCTTCTTCAGTCTGAGGAGAGTTGGTAGGAGATCCCTGATATATCCTCCAGATTGGTTTCACTTTCCCCTGGTCTGAATAGGCTTGTTA